TCACTGTATGGTATGCTCTTGCTCAGTTCGGTCATGTTTCCGACCAGTTTCGAAAAAAAACAGGGGAAACAATGCCTTTGAAGTCATGAGGACAATCCTGAAGGCCTGAGTCATGTACAGGTAATTTGCAGTGAACGGGATGCTGAAATGTTTCATGCAATGAGTGCCCCACCCACAAGCCTTTGTCAGCGATTACTTCGATACCTGTTTAGGTACTGTGTACTGACGTGTTACCATGAAGGGTTGGGGGGGGGAGCAGGGGGGGAGGGGACGGAAGTGCTTTGGTTACTCGTGCCGGGCTCGTAAGGACCTGTAAAGTCTTTTGGATGTGGAATGGAACGAGCTCCCATCTCTTCGTTTTTCCTACGTGGACAGCATCTACCGCCGAATTTTATCGAGAAACCATCGTGAGCTAAGGGATGAGGATTTTCGCCTAGGCCTGAGTGAAAGGAGCTCAATGGTGGGTGAACACATGCCTTTTGCAAAAAGCGGCCTGACAACAAAACCAGTAACATTCCACAGCGCTTTAGAAAATCTCCTCCAACTCTTGTCCCTGAAGCGGAACAACGCCTCCACTTACCTTCACAAACCAGTAACATTTCGGAAAAGTGGCTTATGAAGATATACTCACGAGAGTGTCAGAGACACCATGGGTGGTCTGGAACGGTTGGTAAAAGTACTGAACCGTTTGTCTCGGAGTAGCGCGCAGTGTTTGTCCCGCAAGTTTTCATTTTCAACGGGATAAAGCTTTCGCTACCAGATTCGCCAGTAGAGTAGAGCAGTATCTTGGGGATTCGTTAATCCGTCACGAAATCTGGCAAGCACAGATGCATCTCCGAAGTTTTTGAGGAAGATAAGGTGGGTGGCGCACTCCCGAAAGAGCAAGCCTCTTTCTATCATTCCACTGCGTCTCCCGAGGAAAAGGTTCCAACTACAGACTCACCGCTTTTTTCTATGATATCATTCGACGAGGCATTCCGCACATCGCGCCAACTGGGTTGACTTGAAAGCTTTTGAAGTCGCAGCATGCTTGATCAGCGACCTTCACAGAGGGAGTTATAAGCGGAGGATGATTAGCTCGTCAGCGAGTAGCAGCTTAGCCCCCTTCCCCTTCGTGATGGCACGCACTATCATCATCAGCCATGTGATTCGTTTGAAGAACCGGTTTCGTGCACTCAATGAATGGCTGCTCGCTGCACTGCGCTTCAGTTGCCGCTGCTACACATGTGAAAAGTTCCATGCGATGGGGCTTAACCTGGGAAAAAAGTGATTCCACCTGGAAAACACGTTTCTTTTCTCCCATAATGGGATAAATTGAATTGGATTCGAATAAACGTGGGACCTGAACAAATACAATCAAGATGGAATCACTCTGTGGATAGACGAGTTTCAAATTCCTGTGAACACCTGGAATAGATGCCTCAGAAATGGGATAGGCATCGTCTTGGGGAAGGGCGGGGGTGGCGATGGGGCTGAAGGGTTTCACCTGTAAGCGCTTGCTTATACTATATGCAGTGTGCCATGTGAACACCGGACGCGTAAACCTTGTTATTGCTGCAAAGTCTTCTGAAGCTCGCTGACAAAATGCCCCAAAAACATGGTCCTTATATAATGTACCTTTACTAAATCGAGTCATAGAGTGATAATGAAGGCGCAACCGATTTTGCTTTGCAGCAGTTTTCTGTACTTGGCAGGATTTTGCAAGACTTGCAGGGTGACACACGTTCGTCCGGTGTTCATGTATACAGTTGACACACTCTGAAACAGGTAATAAAGCTGTTTGCTGACATGATGCTCCACCCCCCCTTCCCACGCGAGTTATTAGCTCCCGGGAATCATAATAATATTGTATAATGTTGGTAATATGCATATAAATGGATACAAAAGATTTAAGTGTTTTGCGCCGTTGATCAATCCTTTGTTGGAGTGTGGCACGCGCAGTCCACTTCATCCGCGAATCGTAAGTGCGTATTGAATGCTATATGGCCTGCACAGAGGCCAGCCGATAGAGAAGTCAGCGTCCTTTCCCATCCCTTTAGGGTAGAAGACATGGATGGCCTGAACGGGAGTCGGCGCCGCGGATTTCGTAACGCTAGGACGCGGGCGCGAGTGTAAGCGCGCGCACTGTATTACTTAATCCGCTTCGACCGGCTTCAATATGCATATAGTAAATTTAATAGAATATACGGATTTCATCGATGTCTGGAAGTCTTCGGTTGTTTCACTTTGAGTGGGCGTAAGTTCCTAGTGCAAAGTATTTCGTGTAGATCACTATAGTTGATAATCGACTATTTGATTTACGTAGTATGGTGGATTTGAATCTAGATATTTAGATGTATGTGTTATTAGTTAACTCTTCCGGGATCCTTAAATAATAAATATATGAGTAGGTCTTGCTCGATTGTAGATGGTGAAACGTTCGTGAAGACAGTTCAGGGAAGAGCAGATCATGTCTAAGCCAAATTTCATATCCGCACGACTCTGGTATGAAAGCTGAAAAAGATAAGAAAGTTAGAAGTGCGCTGCTGCGCTTTCAGCCTTTGCTTTACCTGGCCCATATCCCAGAAACATTTTGCTGGCAACAGTTAACCTTCACAAAGAGAGTACTTTCAAGTAAATGGTACACTTTTCGTGAAATCTGAAGAGTCAGATGTATTTGGGCGCTTGCACAAGCAATTTAGCGATGGCTGCTTAACTAGTTTCGAGCGAACACTCGCTGACGGACAGCTAATAAGCAAGTCACCATTTTCCTCTTTCCAGTTTTCCTCGATTTTTAACGAAAACTTAATTTTGACAAATTGCAACAGTCACGTTGAATCGGAAGAAATATGGCAAGTGTGGCAGTTCAAAGCCTATTTAAAGTTCATCAAGGAAAGGTGGGGTAAAGGGGTAAGGTTGGTGGGGTAATTTTTAGTGACGTCGCTCACAAGGCGCGTGGTCAGATATGTAGCTCTTTCACTCAGTGTAGTTGAAGGATGAAAACAAATTGCTACGAAACTTGCTTACTCCAGACCAGGAAACGTTGTGCCTTGGAGATTCCAGCGGGATGGGGTCAAATTTGACCAGTGAGAATTCTTCTGCAGGCATTTCCCCAACGCCATGACGTGCCCTGCTCTAGATGTCAGCCCTGCAAGAATGGTTCAACCACTCGGCTGCTCTGACCAATAGTAGGGATTCCCAGAGGGTCCGACTAATGCCTGAGGCATGTTCTGAGTTCGAAAGCATTATAAAAACCCGAATAGGTGCAACTTTTGAGGCATTTCCATTACATACTTAGCTAATCAGGCAGGCAGAGCAGTTTCTGGCTAGAACGCTTTCCCTCAATTGGTTTTCTTCAGAAGAACACTTTAAGAGGGAAAATTCTTGTTGGCAGAGTCGCGTTCGCTCGGCTGTCTCCCTCAAACCGGTTCCACTATAAAGTACGGTCTATTCGATAGCACGCTTCATATGCTCCAACAACGACGCACGACGGAACTACTGACCAATCCCAGCTCGGACAGGATCAACGGTGCTTTTTTCCGCCACAAATGCCGTCGTCGGCGAATGGTTCTTGGGTTGGTCTAGCCAGCCCGGCGGTGTTGCATTGATGCGACGTCTACGCGGCTTGTTGCATGAATCAGGATGGCCCTAATGCGATACGCGGACCAGGCTATTGCTGCGATCGTATCAGGCGCCCGTTGTCGTTAGCCAACACCAGTTCAACCGGGAATCTAGCCTCCTCTTTAATCCATGCTAATCAATTTTTCAAGTTCAGCTAATTTCCATCAATATTTTAAGAAATTCTTCTTCTATATATAGAGTTACACATCAAGACTCCAGTGGGCATCTCAACCCCCTCTCAGTATCTTGATCTTGAAAAATGTATCTTCGCCTTCTGCGTTTGATAGCCAATATCGTTTAGGACGGAATTACTTACCACGCGCACGTAGTTTTTCTTCACCTTGTACCTTCCCTTCTTTTCCCTTCCTTCTTCCACCTTTAGTTGACGGCACCTCACAACTGTTGCTCTTGATGTTACTGATGGAAGTAAACGTCAATATACTAGCTATTTTTCAGCCTCTATAGAGCGGACCACTGCTTTGTTCGCCGCAGTAAGCTCCGAGGATTTGTAAAAGTCAGAACCATTTACTCTCCACTACCCTACTCCTTGGAAATTACTCTAAAAGTATCTAGCTTACGCACTAGGTATTTCATGAAAAGCGGATGTAGCATTTTCCTTCAGATAAGTCAAATCGTAGCCTTTTCTGAAAGAAGGATATTCGCTTCAGTGAGATTGGTTTTGGAGATGTCTAGCGGCTAGCGCTTGTGACGTCGCCGCGCAGTCTGGATGTATTATTTCTTGTCATGGAGGCAAAATATTCCCGGAAATGAATTTCTGAAAAAAATCTCCACACGGAGAAAAAATTCGATCACGATTTATTTTTAATCGTGAACAAGATTTCAGACTCTAATATGGTTGGGATGTTCTGGGTAAAAAGCCCATGAAGCTTTTTCGCTTGAAAAAGTTTGCTAAAGTAGTCAGTCGTACCATAATTCCGGGATTTTCCTAGAAAGATACTACAGATGTTTCGGTCGATGAGATTGAAAAAGAGTATTCTGCGCTGACGCCTAAACTTTCAAAAGCGTGTCTCCTTATTACAAACGCTATTCACTCCTGAAATCATGTTCTCTTGGTCGCCGCCTACTAAAAAGGTGGAAAACGCGAGAGGGTAATCATTGTTTGGCGGATTTTAGTCGACTCTATAGATCCACCCTTTAAATTTTGGGAGTTGGTACGACCCCCTCCCCCCGCCTCTGCCCTTCCTCATCGAATCGAGCCGTCGAGCGGGGGGGGGCATATAGTACGTGAAACAGGAAAATCACCAAAAGTCAGCCGCCCACTCCACAACGCCAAATGTAATCGACCCCTCCCTTTACAACGTCCATGAGGCGAGAAAAATCAACTATCAAAATAAATTTTTCTCAGCTAAACATCATCTAAACAGATCTGATTTTCAAAGATGATCAATGACGATTCCGGTATAGCGGTTAGAAGCACCATAGCAGTCGCAGGAGCTTTCAATCTCAAGCACAAGCTACATGTTGCCTGGGGGAGGGGGGAGTGAAATCTGCCAATGTGGGGCGGGGGAAAGGGGGGGGGGGGGGTGCGGCGGGCTCAGCGGGTCCGTTACTGTAGAAGTATGGCACCCCAGTCATTTGGAAGAGCGCGCAAATGAGGCTGAAGCGTAGTGAAGGGTGGTGAGAGGAAGCAAACAAGTAGCGCTGTTGACCCGGAAAGAAGTATAGCTTCGTAATGGGCGGCGTGTTACGTGCTGGCCATGCTAGTTTTAGCCTGCTAGTGTAAGCCCTGGCATTTGGTGACCTCTCCCCTGCAAGCCTGCATCGTGGCGAATGATAGTGAGAGAGGTGGCACATTTCTTCACCTGCGACCCTTTCACCTCGCACATGGCCAGACCAGAAACCTCGGAGGTAGCAGCGTATCCTATTGTTCGATGTTTGAAGATTATAGGTGAGATAAATGCTATGAACAGAGCTCTTCGATTCTGAACTTTTGACGTTATTATCAGTTTGAAGAGGTAAGGCAGCGTTCAAGACTTCGCGACGACAAGCTTCGTCGCGCGTTCGGGCGCGAGTGCGATGCGCATGGCTTCGGGACTGGCATCGATCGCGTCGAACGCGCAACCGAAGCGCTGCCGTCGCGAAGTCTGAACGCTGCCTAAGCATAACTGCCTTAAGGGCGGCCTCATCCAGTTTATACTTCAAAATTGTGGGCATTGGCTCTCTCTGCTCGTCTTTCTCATCGTTTCTCTCTCTCTCTCTCTCTCTATCTCTCTCTCTCTCTCGATCGCGGAATCCTCTATCCCTTTCTTCTTACCCCTTACAATTAGCACCACGATTGCGATTATGAAAGTATTGACTTGACTCGGCAAGCTGAAGTCTTTTCTTATTCTTACGAAAATCGATACCTTTCATGCCTCTTTGAAAATTCTGCTGCAAGTGGGATCTATGGCAGACTCCAAGAGCTGCATTGCTTAGGTCGTACGCTTCGTATCTCTTTGCATTTGTCATCATTCAAGTCTTCGAACTTGTTTTATTACGCTTATTATATTTTATTACCGCAATTGCTGTTTACCGCCGCACTTCGCGCCCTAATAGCTATTCCAAGAATGCTGAATTATGATCAAAAAACTTGATCTTAGGTGGAACTCGAACCCGCATCTCACGCTGGTCAAGCGAGTGCGCTGTCTAGAGTTATGGCATAAAAGCCATTAAAGGCAAGTGGCAGGATAAATCGACAAGGCGAACAGATCCGATACGCATAGCACTAATGAGTATCGTGTCCTTCAGCAGGCGCTGCATCGTGCCATTCTCAACCGACAGCACCCTGATAGCGTCTAATCAAAGTGCAAAACGCTAACTCACACGCCCACCTCAATGGCACGCCCATGAATAGTCGCACAATCAAATCGACGCTGGTACTCTTATCGCTCCATTCATGAACTACAATTAATATGAAGCGTTGCTACACGGATATACAGGGGGGTGGCCCCAAAAAAAGTCACTTCGACCGAGTCACATATCAGCAAAGTTTTCGCAGCCCAGACAGAGGACGTGGATACGAGTACCAGGGCGGAAGATACCCCTCGATAAGCAGGAGCTGGCTCTCGCCCATCACCTTCATGTACACCAAAATATGAAGTCATCTCCAGTCGCAGCCTGACTGGAGAAGACCTTTGGAATTCATGTCACCTCCAAACAGCTGCGAAACTTCTAGTATGGAGTCACCCATGGATAGCTACCTGGAGACCAGTACTCTCGATCTGGAAGACCTCCAACAGCTCCGACAACGTCGCCACGGTCTAGGACATCATCTTCACCGCAGTCGCCAAGGCGCGGGTTGATGGTATGGACCTGAACCTGGAATGGAAAGACCGATATTTTCTTCGTGGACCCCGGACTGAAGGTGAGCGCTGGCGGTTACATCGAGCAACTCGAGAAGAATATCCTCCCACATGTCGTCGCCCGTACCTTCTTGGAAACTTTGTACTGCTACAGGATTGGGTGACACCACGTGGAATCGAAGGGCGTTGGAAAAACTCTCGCCCACTTGGAATGGAAGGACGTTGAGTACCTGAAGAAGATGGAATATCTAAGTAGGTCACCTGACCTGAAACCCCCTCAATTACCCGGTTCGGGCGGAGCTCAACAGGGTGGTCTACAGTGGCGGAGAAATCAACGATCTCGCTGAACTCAGGCACCGAACCATGGTTGCGTGGCAGAATCTCTCGATGGCGGTGGTCCAGAAGGCTGTGGCGGAGTATCATGATAGTATTTAATATGCTCTTTAATATGGTGGTAGAAATGTCCGATCAGAATTTGATAAAGTGTAACTTATAGCGCCTCGAAAGTCAAGGAAGAAAAGTGACTTTTTTTGCCCCCCCTGTATAATGTAAATACATAAGTGCAACCGTATCTATCAACGAGGTTGTTGGCACGGTACCAACGGGAAACTCGTCCAAAAATACTCGGCCAATACCGTTCAGAACAAAGGATTTCTGCAGGTTTCCCGCCGTTTAATTTCGCTTTTCCTTCATTTCCTACTTATAGCACCCCTGCTACAATTTCGAGCGAGTAACAAGTTATCGTACCTTATGCCTTAAATGAGATAGGGTGAAAGGCAGGCTCAGTAGTGCTTAGACAGCGCAAGGGAGTGTGGGTTTGGATTTCGAGTCCTATCTGAGGTGAAGTCTTTTGCTCTACATAGGTTAATACTCACTCCTCGGAAAACTTTCGAGACATATCACCTGTGCCACGAATCGTCAGGGTGATTAGGACGTAAGTGAAAAAAATAAAATAATAAATAAATAAACAAAACGCTAGGAATTTCTGCGATTATCGCTTGCAAAGCAGTCGCGGTCGAGCCTTTGGAAAGTCTGATCTAATATCCAATGAAAGGTGCTGGCTTAGCCACTAAAGTTGTCTCTTTGTGTTCCCTTTCAAAGACCATTCAAATAAGCAAATCCATCATCCAAATGAATGTCGCGACAACGCTTATGGTTTGGGCTCAACATTGACACTCCGCGCTGGACTTTGTAAGGTGAGGTGTTGAATTCTTCAAATTACCTCCATAGTACCAAGTAATCAATATCCAGGTTCCAGAAATTTACCCGGGTTCACTGAACCCAACCCCGTCTCAGGATGCTTATCAACAGCGATTCCTCCCTCCTCCTCTCCTTTTTCTTCTTCCTTCCTTCTCTTCCTCCCTTCCTCCTCTCTTCTTTCTTCCTTTGCCTCCTCCCTTCAACTGCTGGACCAGTAGATGCCATGAGGAAAAAAGTCAGCACCCTCCGAACCCCAGCCTGCTCCGTAACACATCTGTGAAAAATTGACCAAGTTCTTGAAAAGAAGAAGCTCAGCCGAAGCTGAGGACAGTGGACGAAATGCGCCTACCTTCCCCTGCTTCCATTTTTCCCTCTCAAACATGTGATTGTCGTAAATATCGTTTACGATCGTAAACATGGACGCTATTATTAGAAACAGAGCGCTGTACGTCGCGGAAACACGGAAACAAGCAGCCAGCTGGGATGGATAAGAAAAAAATTTCGTTCCAAATCAATTAATTCATGTTTTTAATAAGCTTATTAAAATTCTCTGTTTTCTTGTGTTTGTTTATCAGCAATTCTGTTTGACTCTCGACCTCTAGTTCAAGATAAGGGATGTCAAGAGCTCCGATTTCTGGCCCTTTCTGGAAAAATAAGTTGGACTAATGGCTACCATTTCACTGACCATTCAACTACCACAGCCATTACTATGGCTCGGTTTCGGGGAACAGAGATAGCTTGCCATGAGTAGACATCCTTGTGGGCGATTCGCAATGTCGTCTATATTTCGTAGTTTATTGGGTAGGATCCTTTTTTCATGGAGTGTTTCCCCCTGGGGCAGCTACCTTCCTATTTATACTGGACAAAGGCGAGAGTACAATCCTCTCAAAACGGCAATCTTCCACAGCACAGCAGCCATCACAACGTTGGAATAAGTGCAACCACGCCCACTCCATGTTCGCGATATCGGATGTACTGCTGTGTAATCGAAAAGTAGCCAAGCAGTGCCTATGCAGTCTTTTTGTTCAATTCGATTGTGTCTTTCATGAATGGAAAGTAATTATCTGTTCAAACCCTCAAACCTTGAGTAAACACTCAAAATGTCTCTTTCAGGAAGACCATCCATCAACGAAGGAAGGCAGAGCACGAGAAGGAAACGTAAAGACGATCACACCCAATTACAAACTCGGAACGGAAAAACCTGTGAGGAAGATTTTTTTTGGTTTATCAATTACCACGTTCCGGAACGTGACATACATGGCTCGTCACGCTATCCGGGACGGACCATTTTTCTCTCTGCGCTGTTTAATAGGTCTATATGACAACCATTTCGATTCTAAATTTATTAGAACACATTTATGGCGAATGACTAGAATCACTTAGTTTTTGGATACGGAATACCCATATCTCATACAAACGTGAAAAAAACGGGTATGTGACAAGAGAATCGTAATTCGCCCGCTGGTGAGCGTCGCGTGCGACGTCGCGCCCGCAAATGACGATGGTTCCAGGTAGTAGATGGCGACAACAGGCAATTCAGAACCGAAAATAGTCATGAATGTCTACGATGACGGGTCTACATGAAGTCCGGTGCTCCAATCGACAGGTTAACACGAGTCAAGAAAACGCCGCGCCCATCGCCACGCGCGGCGGAGCGGCAAATTACGGTTCTCTAACCCTTCTCCCAAAAAGGAACAGATGAAATTACTAGTTATCAATGTCAAGAGTGACGAAATGACGAGATGCAGGTAATATTAACCCAATGCGGATCGCAATTATCCGAGGATAATTGCAGTCCGAATTGGGTTAATATTAACTCGTCCGAAAGGGGTATTTTGGGGCGCCTAATTCGGGATAACTGTAGGATCACGGCTATCACCCACTCCAAGTCCAGCTTTTTGGAAAAGTGCTATACTCGCAAGGGGTACAGCCTACCACGCACATGGAGTGCCCCTGGTCTCTGGTAGAACTCCATTCTGATCAGCTCAGCCTTCCACTTTTCCTGGATTGGTCCTTGACACCATACTTTCGTGTAGGAGTACAGGACGTTTTCTTGGACATTGAGCCGCCATGTGGAGGCCAATTCCTATCCCGATCCCGTTATGATTCTGCATGTAAGAAGATTGTGCAGCGCAACCGAGGAAGGGATAAGAACCGCCTTTTTGGACCATAAAATCTACAGCGTAAAATAATCTGTTCAAACAAACTAGTTTGGGATTGGATCTTTCAGCCTTCCAGATTCCTAGTGTTCAAAGTTTCTCGTGTAGTGTGGGAGATCCACGTTGTAGCGGAGCGGCATGATATCAACTACTCATCTGTGGGACCAAACTGGTCTAAGTTGCAAGTGCTGCAGTATGTTGAGTCAACTAATTAGGAAATTGCTAGTCCTGCGAGTCGCCACAACGTCGATCTCTCGTACTTCATCCATTTCTCTTCTGTAGAGCTCTAAAGTACATTTGTGTCATTCCTATATTGTTTCAGAGTCACGAGCTGAAGCTGGGAACCAGTGGATATCTTCCAAATGAGAAAGGAGATTACAAGGTAAGTTTTCGACTTAAGAAAGCGGCGATGGATATGGAGTTTACTGGTGACCTGTACTAGCTAAATCTCTTACTCATCAGTTCAAAGCCCGAGCGATAGTTGTTCCGACCTTAGAACACCTTTTTGCGGAAGGAGTTCCGGTGTTGTAAAGGGCAATTGTTGCATTGATTACCTACAATTTACAAGTGTGTTTTAGTGGGGGCAGGTTTCCGCAACGTAATCGCTTTCCCGAGAACGGGTACATTATTTTGCACTGAGCGCATTTGCAAAAAGTTTAGCGCTGTGTTAGCTGAATTATCAAGCGTAGTTGAAGTGTAATTGATTCGAAGCGCTATATCTGAACGCTGTCTTTCGCTTTCTGATAAAAGCGATTTCGATATGGAAGTATAACATTCCGCAGTGATGTAACCGGTTGGGCCATCGGGCTTCCCTCTTTGGTCGACTCCTCTTCTTGTTATATCAAACGGGAGGGTTTCACCAATTAGAAGGGCGTTTCTGTCCAAGTAACTCTGCCCGTACTAAGAAAGCGAAGAAAGTGCCTTCAAGAACAAGACCGGCCCCTCATTCTGATTACCCTCGATTTCTTACACATTTGTGATGAGTTCTATAGAAAGGTTGAAGCAATCAGAACCAGAAAGTGTTCATTCTGCACCATAACCGCAAAAACGTAGTGAGCTTAGATGGTGGGAGGGAGGAACCAGGTTGTTCCTTTCGATCATGGCAGCCTTACCTGGAGGGTAAGTTAAAGGTAGAATCTGCGATCAGGTATAGAAGTGCAAAGCATAGCGTCGGTAGGGTAGTGTGTCCGTCAACGAACAACACTGTACCGGTTTCGCAACAAAACATTGTAAGGGAGGGGCGCTATAGCGGAATATAGGTTCAGTGACGCCCCCTTTCTCCAGCGACTCCGCCTCCAGGCTCCACCTTCAAGGCGCGGTCTTTTACGTGAAAAACGAAGCTGCAGGACGAAGAAAGCAAAGAAAATCTGTCACGTTGTATGCAGAGTTCTAGGGAGAAGCAAGCTGTGCGGATTAGGGCGTAGTGTGGAGATGAGTAAGTTCGTGGCATGTAAAAGTCGAGAATCAAAATGGCTTCTATCTAGAAGCAGATCGGCTTTTTTTTCTTCTTTTTTCTTCACGATTGTTTAACTTATCACTTTGTGGCTAATGCAGGAAGACCTATCATGATGGCGACGTGATCCCCGTTCTTCGCCTTTGATGCTCGATCGTCTGATCGATTTCGCCTTTGAATTTCGGTCTCATCGTCCTGATTGACTAAGTGATTGTTCTGAATAAAAGTCTATCAGCCCACTAAACCTCCAGCGAACTAAGTTGCCAACCTCCCAGTTGCTCTTGCTCATTCCTTGGCCAACAGTTGGTAGTACTTAACATCCCTAACGGTTGCTTATTCAGGTGAGCATGCGTCACGAAGACTACAAACTCACAGTCATCGATCCAAAGGTACGTCGTTTCGAAAGCAAACGGGTTTCGCCAGTAAAAATGTCTTTTTCAGGTTCGTTCAAATGCCAACATGCCGCTCCACTCGATGACACTGCCGGACGCCAAAAAAGAGATGGCTGGCGATTTTCCCAGTCAACATTCCAAACGCAGTTTGATCAAGCTCGAGCCACTCGAGCAGAGACGATTCAAGGTACCGAACATTTTTTGGTGCTGTTCGTTTTAGGGGGGGGACATTTTGCTTTTCCGCTAGTTTCTGTTGAATTTCACCGTCTCACGTCGGTCCATTCCTATCGATCTTTGAACATGGAGCTCCTGCTTTTGCATAGAGTTCACAGGCAGTTTCGAGCAGTTCCCGCAGAATGCATTCATTAGAGAGCCAGCAAAATGTCCCTATCAACCCGAACTGCTCCTATTTTTCTTGCTCTGAAGGGACCAAACGCCTGGAGTCTTGGTGATTATCCTCGGCTTATGTACCATACCCGAGAGGGAGGACGTGTTTGCATGGTCGCTTCAAGCGGAAATATACGCAGCCAAACCCTCTCCCATGTCCGGGATATGGGGTTTATGACGTACTATTCATATACTATTCCACAACAATTCCTCAACACACTAATTGCTCCTGTTCAAGAGGAGAAGCCAGATAGCGGCAGGGCACATTTCTGCGCTGGGTTGAACCTTTGAGGGTTTTTGGCGTGCTGGCAGGATGCATCACATTCTGACACGTACGCTGCGAGAGCTCAATATACAGTTCACGATAATCTGGAAAAGAAAAGCCCTCCCCACCCTGTTATAGAAGGCATGGGCGGAGGTTCTGGCAGTCAGCTCCAGCCTGCGGCCCCGGGTTCAAATCCCGGGTCGACCGCCCCCAGGCCAACCACTTCTACCCTCCGGGGACGGTAAATTGGTACCAGATTCGTCTGGGAGGATAAAACACTGACTTGTACATCGGCACCGCAAGTCATTGTATAGGCCACATCGCATTCAATAAGCCACTACGATTCTGAATGGAAGTAGAATGCGTGCCGCATCCCACAAAGGGATTGATCAACGGCGAAGACTTTATCCTTTATCCTTTTATAAATGAAAATAAAATCTGGCCAACAACAGAGGTTAGTACGCAGTTTCGGTGCGCTCAGAGTAGTGTGGCTAAGAACTTGTGCAGCGGTTTACAACCCTTCAGGGCATAGGGACGCCCACCCCACGAGTCGCACGGAGTTTAGCAGCCTCGTCTGTCTGCGTGCTCTCTTGTCGCTGCCCATTAGGGTGCCTAGTCCAAATGCACATGTTTCTCTGAGCATTTGGACTAGGCAGGCCTGTGCTCATAATTCTGCTGGAGAAAGGGGCCCTTATTCAGGGAACGCGCGACAGATTGGCTCTTTACCATCTCGAAGGTCATACTTGAACCCCGCAAGCTCATTGTCCGGTGAATTGTTTCAGAGTTGCGAAATTGTAAGCTGTATGTCGCGGTGAGCCTGGTAGGGACATTATGCCTCGCACTTTGAGATATTCATTAATGGTGAGGAGCTCAGATGCTTTTGCTATGACCAGTTCACACAACATCGTTTACCATATCGAAATCATTGTCTCCGATACAAAAATTAAACTTAGCAGTGCCCACCCTCAACCGCGCGCAGCGATGGAGCAGAGAAACCGTACGAACAAAGTCGTGAAGTTGTCAGACATCGTTGAGTAGTATAGCCAGCCTTCAAAGTTTCCCCTTAATAAGCCTCTGTGATCACGGTAGCAATGATTGTAGAACAGTGCAATCAAGGAAAAGTTCATGCAAGGCTTAAAAATACATCCCTACCGGAACAGTGAGCCAGGAGTCCTTGACCGGAAGCATGTGATCGTAACCAAATCACGCTGGGGCGGAGTTTAATACCAGAAGAGTAATAAACCGGTCAGAAATGATCGCTGATACAAAAGAAACTCAGACTAACCAATTCGATAATTTTTCTGATACTGCCGACTAACTGGCTTATTGTCTGAGTTCGGAAGTCTTGAGCGCTGCACAAACTTTAGCGTCTCCATTGTCCGTATTTGATGCTTCAGTTCTTTGTAATTTTTTTCAAGATCGAGCATAGCTCCGAGCTGTGTTTCACTCTTGTGAAAGGCTTTAACCCAGCACATATTCTTTTTATGTTGATATACAACCCCCATATGCCTTTTTTCAGAGCACAGAATCTCGCCCAATCACCACCAGCAATTATTTGACAGAAAGTGTGGAACGACATCGTGATATGGAGGCCAGCCGTCTCAGAGACTACCTCAAAGGCAAAAGAAAGCGACGCCAACAAGCCCTGGAACAAACCCGGATGGCCTGGGCCAAAGGTAAACCTGCAAGAGAGCATGATGGTCAGCATTTTCTGAGCAACTTGACAGTTACAACATTATCAGCGCACTTTGAGGAGTGTGATATTTGATTTTTGTTACTTCTATGGTATTGAAGTTACTTGCTGGTTCCTTTACCAAGCTATTGTTTGTAACCAGGGTACAGCATGTGATGTGTGAAATGGTGTTGTAGGTACGACCCTCCCCCCCCCCCCTCGAGGGGGTGTCAGTAGGACCACTGCTCCTGAATGAGTGTCCCGGTACGACCCGCCCCCTTCCTCAGCTCCTACCTACCAGTTTCCCCACATTTTCCAGTTTTTCACCCACAGATTTTCCGTCGAGCGGGGGTGGGGGGGTATAGTACACATGAAACAAGAAAAATCACTAAAGGTCGACAACAGAGAAAAAATTCTTCCCAACACGGAACTCTCTCTCAGAGGCACATACGACCCCCCACCCCAGCGGAAAAGTACGACCCCCTATCACACACCGATGATATACCCTGTTTGTAACACTGCCGTCAGTCGGGGGCGACGTGAGTAAGGCGGGATAATCCCGCCTCCACTTGCCTTGCTCTACCAATGGTGATCGAGCAGTGATCCATTCAGAAAGAAAACAACCAATGGTGGAAATGGCACCGGTGGGGACCGAGTGATCGCGACCCGACTGATTGCGGCTATATCAACTGTCTGTAGCTATTATGAGAATCACAAATCAAATTTCAATTTAATCTTTTGCAGAAAAGTGACGACGAGAGCCTCCGTGAACTGGAACATATCAGAAAGGTAAGTTCATTTTGTTCTCGAAAGACGTTTGCACGACTGCCAAGAGGGAGGTAAAGTAGGGTCAAAGTAGCTAAGATAGGCGGATCTTCATAAAGAAGAGTAGGTAGGATTGCCAATCGCCGTCAGCGTTTGCAGTAAAGAACACAGCGTTGCTCAGAGGCTCGACTATGCCCTTCTCAATGCTACGCCCTCCCTCTCTACCATATTGAAAGGAGAGGCGCACCAATGAGGAAAGGCAAGTGGTTGCCAGTCTCCGCCCATCCGATTATTGCGGTTCATGTCTTTGGGGAGATTTACTTTTTGTTGACAAGGAAAACCCAGGAAAACACCCTTTGCCGGAGCTTTCTGATGACAGGAAACGGAGACTATAGGGTGGCATAGGCATAGAATAGTTTGCTAGCTAATAAATCAATTATTGGCTAACCTGTGATACTTTTTTTGGGAAAAAGGCGCCTGAAAAGGGCAACTTTTGGTTCTTCGATTTTGCCTTGACCCTATTTCGATCCTAGCGCTTGCATTCGTGCCGAACGTCTCACAATGTTCTTCTCTCAATAATTTTTGTTATTTCAGTCCATCGAAACCCTGCAGAAGGTAGGTGAAGTGTTGCTGTCCAGCGTTTCGCTTATCCATCTGTTTGTCCGTCCTTTTTCACGTCCGCTTGTGTTGTGATTGTGTGTTGTTGTGTGGCGTTACCCAGCTTAATGTCCGTTATGTCCCCTATGTATAATCCTACTGAAAAGACCTCTGACCCCACTGGAGAGATCCTTCCTGCCAATCCGCCCTCTGCTTCCCACACCACACCAACTTCACTGCAACACAATGAGCATGAGTGAGTTTTTAAGTGAGATTCAGTTACAGAAATCACTTCAGTCATTGCAGAAGCTTTTATTTTGCTGTGGATTTAGAAAATCAGGCGAGCCCAATCGATGCAGGACCTTCGTGCACGACCAACGCCGAACGAATTTGCACGCGATACTTCTGTGAGTTTAGACGCATGTATAAGACTCACCGCAGACCTTAAAGGTGCTTCCCACGCTGAGGGTATGGTTAAACCCCTTGGAACACCGTGCTTTCCTCACTATTGTGTTTCTTTTACTCCCTCTCTTTGAAGGATTGCTTTCCTGCGTGAACGAGGGGCCTTCATCGGCTCCGCCCATAACGACAAACCGTAGGGAAGTACTTTTTAAGCGTAACAGATAATCTTGAAAACAGTCAACTTGTAGCTTTCTACAAAGGCCGAATGCGTCTCCTTTCTTTGGCGTGTAGTTCATTTGAAGGAGACATGTGCTTTACCAAATAGAGAAACAAAACTTGGGAACTTCTACGCCACAGCAGGGCCCAATCTAGCACCATTACGCCATATTCTTATTTATGATTTAACCGTGGAAGTTCAAAACTATTTGAACGCGACAAAAAAAGGCCTTAACCGCGCAACGCGCAGTGGTAAACTATACCGTAATCACTACAATCTATTTTTCCTACGAATTTGAAATTTCAGCGATCTCGGCCGCCAAGTGAACTCTCGCAGTTTGACTATCGACGTCGATGGGCATCAGCGGAACAGCTGGCCGTTGAGACAAGGGAGAGTGGACAGAAGAGGGTCCGCAGGGTGAGTAATCCCACTTATATGAAGTTGTTACAGCTGTTGAATGTTTTGGGATTAAAATTTAACTAATGTTAAGGACTTTTGCTGCTAGATATTCGGCCAGGCCCAAGGCGAGATATTTTGGCTAGTAAAAATAACTGAGGGATTAACTGGGATGGGAGAGGAGGTTTTTGAGTGTACAATCTCTGGCGCTGATAACTTTGGACTACTCTCTACTCTCCATGCGTCCGCGCATTAATGGTGGAAAAGCCTGCTCTGATTCGCTTCTCTTTTGGCACCTCGACATCTTAGCTTTCAGTTCTTGTGGGCCTTGCGAGGTTGTAGTGGAAAGCATTAATTAATTTGGCCTGTCGTTTTCAATTTATCTCCTGACGGCCAATCCACACGCAAATTTGCGACTGCTGTATGGTGGAAGTTTTGGTTGGTCCGATGCGATACGGAATATGGAAAACTTAAGAAAAATTTAACTTGAGAAAAACTCAATACTTGAAAATTATATAACAGTTTTAGACAATAATGTTGAAATCATAACAAATATAAACTAAGTATAATCATTCAAATCACATTAATCGTCGTCTTCAGAGAAAATCAGTACGTAACAGCGCTAACAGCTCTTGAATGTGGCATCGGACCCTTCCGCTCGGTGGGAGGAACCACTGGGCTCTGAAGACAACAGTTCAGTCGAAACGTTAGGCCAAAATTAATAAATGTTCCACCTGACACCTCGTAAGGCACAAGAAAACTGAAAGACTTACAGCCAGGGTACGCCATCGCGTTGTGATCATTTCTTGCTAAATACGACCCACCCCCAAATAAGGGTCTTAATACGACCCCCCTGTCACGAGGGTACAAATGAAAAGAAGCGCAAAAGGGACGAAGAAAATGACAATAAAGAGAACTGGGCGCTATTGAACTATTCCTACGCCAAAAACTCAAAAAAAATTATGCTGAAACTTTGTCTATCGATGTTATTCGATGTCCTGATCACGAGTGTGACATCATTTTCCATACCAGCGCTATTTGGCACTCTGCTGAGGCTGAAACTGAGAAAAAGGGAAGATTTCCCTCAGGTCAGGCTCAGTCTTAGCAAAGCGCAGATGACCATAGTGTCCTACGTTAGCGCTGGCGTCCAAGACTATATATATCATACGTACGTGAACAGGATGTCCCCCCGTATACAAAGTATTTCATCGATTTTGGTGTTTTAGGATAATTTTGGCGACCGGCGCCTGTGGCGCGTCACCAAAATACCCTAAACCAGTATCGATGAAAGTTTTGGGCAAGCGGGTGTGATATTCGTGTTCAGGAGGTCGAAGTACCACTGTAACAGAATTTCCATCCAAATCTGCCCCTCTAGAAAAAGAATCGATAAAAAATGGGCGCTAATTTCGGCGGACTGGGGTAGGAATAGTTCGATAGTGCTAAACACTACAACAATACAACCTAGAAAACTACTAGAAAACAAAAAAGAAACCTAAAATACCAAACAAACGACAAAAAACTCACCAGAAGTACTAGGAACTAGAATTATGGATTAGCTTTTGAATATTAGTTTTTCGCGGTCGCGCTGTATTAGCGCGCCGGCAAGCGCGCTAATACAAGCCTATTGGGAGCGCGGCTATTTACGACCTGGAAGGCCAATTTCAAGTCCAAGTGGACGAGAGTGGAACTACGGTTGGCCCCTGTTACTGACGTTGAGGGCGATTTTTCAAAAACATTCTTTAGTGCAGTTTGTTCGGACGGGGGGCATTCTGCTTTTAGATGTGACGACCCTCATCTATAATAGGTAGCCTTTTCTCGAGTCGACACGTTTTAGGATGGTGGCTAGATGATCTTGCACCAGCTTCACAAGGGTTCACAGGTTTTACCAGGGTGAGTTTTGTGAACCGGAGCTAGGGAAGCCGTGGTAGTACAAAATGCCCCCCCGTCGCCAAACAGCGCCACATTTCTTTTCTAGAAATTTTCCCCGTTGTGACAGTCATGGGGGCCAACCACAACGCTTAGAATCCATCGGCAAGCTTCATTACATGCCTTTCGTAAAAATGTGCCGGAAGCGCGAAGCTTTCTACTTTCCAGCAAAACTTTTAATTTTATCCCTAGGCCTACTATTCGAAAAAATTCCCCGTTGTGATCACTCGACCGTATCACTGCATCCACGACACAAAAACAACTCTCCGACGCCAATGAATCCGATGTTTAGGAACTTGGTATGCTTAAAAAAGCATGTTTTTTGCGAAAATAATCCATTGGGCGCCAAATGGCATCAGCTCTGCAATGCGCCATGCATAGCGCTTTCACGCAGAGCTATTGGGAAGGTGCAACTTCTAGAAAGGGTTACCTGCGTGGCAAGATAATTGCTTCTGTGCTTAGAAAGGTCCGGAGTGTATATGTTCATCCTGTTTATTAGTCTCATTTATTAGTCCATCGGCGGAATATTCATTGGCGAGTTGGTGTACGTGACCAAGTGGCGCGTTACCGACTCCGCGATGCCGGGTTTTCCAAATCCCGCAAGTCTAACTCTCGCCCACGGCCAACCAAGCGCACTCTATCCTCCGGGGACGTAAGATGTACTTCTTGGGAGGATTAAAAACACGACATTGTACATCGTACGGCGGCCACTGCAAGTCATTGTAATAGCCCACATGGCAATTCAATAAAGTCTACCTGCTAATTCTGAAATGGAAGCGTTGAATGCGGTTGTGCCGCATCCCACAAAGGGGTGATCAACAGGCGGAGACTTTATCCTTTACCTTTTTTATTAATTCATGACGTCGTTGTGGGAGGCCATCGTATTTCCTGTCATCGCCCGATCCCCACTTCAGAGGTTCTTCAAATGGATAAGTCTTTCATCAGTGAAGCTGAACGACATCTGGGTATCGCTGCACCCTCACTTCAGAAACGTCCCCGCGTTTACACCCCCCTCCGCCTCCCTCGAGGTCAAATACGACCCCCCCCCCTGTTGTGATGACCCAACGATGGCGTGCCCTGCTTAACAGCTGCTCTGATTGCGCCTCAATCCACACGCAATTATGCCACTGCTGAATGATGGAAGTTTTGGTTGGTCCGATGCGATACAGGATATGGACCGTGGGTCAAAAGTGCGATAACAGCGTGGTCGCCACAATCCCCTCCCCTCCGGAGTCTCGAAAACCAGTCGTACAGATGAGGAAATTTCGAGACCAAGTGAACACGAAAATTGGCATACGCTTGAGGATCAAACTGCTCCCTCGTATCGCTAACCCTGCCTTATTCGCTTGGGTTAGTAATGAGGACCTCCACTTGAACGTTGTCGGCCCGTGATACATGTAGCCCACTTTAACCCACTTTACGGATATATTTTGACTTCCAAGAGGGATTCGGGATACCGAAAGGAACTGGCATTGTCTCGGTTTCGTAACTGAACGGCCGCTATGGTGATATTCTAGAATTCCATGAAATCGTCCCTCTGGGTGAGACTACCCCTGAATTATTTCATGTCTGAACTTCAACCACACCCAACCACCCGTCGTATGAGTTGTTCGCTCTCTGTTGTCGAGAGTTCCTTCGTCTATTTGCTACTCTGCATCTCAGTTTACTCATGCCAGCGCATCTTTCGCGCTACTTCGACCGCCTACTCTCACATTAACTGTTCCTACAACGATTGTTTGGCAAATGCTGAGCATGAGATCCACTTAGAATGCTCTACATTCCCAGGCTTTTACGTAATATAGAATTCCTTCTTGGAAATTGAGCAGCAATTTTGTTCCTCTCGACATTTCATGGAACCCTAGAAACTCTACAACAGCACTCCTCTGATATATTGTTAGCAAACTGTTAGCAAACGTTTTTTCAACCAATATTTCTGAATTTTCAGGTATTAGTACATTCTCCTCGGCACAGTGATACACTCCATCGACAGTTCCAGAAGGAATTTCACCTAACTCAATACGTGGTACGTTTATGCTCCATTACCTCCTCAGCCTCTGGAAAACTCGTCAAAAGATAGTGGTTGGTAAGCAGTAGTAACCCAGGATACGCCATACTTGCCAGGATACGCCACGCTTGACTTCGATTGCTGCCTTCATGAAAACTTCATTTTCCGAACATGTATATTGAAGTAGGGTATATCGATGCCAGGCCTATAAAACGATTGGGCTTACCTATAGGCATTTAGTCTTGTTCGGATTCGGGTTCTGTGGCGTTTCGGGGGGGGGGGAGGCTCGGTTTGGCACGCGCGAATTTGTTCTCCACCGAGTCCTGAAGCAGGCAAGCGACAACGATTGGTGGGACTTAGGCTCGCGCGCCTTGAACCCAGCCCTTTGACAAGCCTCAGCATCCCCAGCACGACCGTGTTTTTGCTCTCCCCTGCCTGAAAGTGGTTCCCTTGGGGTGCTAAGATCCGTGCGAGTTATGGCAAATGGAAACACCCACCTTCTACGTACCCTCATAATTGTTTTTGATTTAACTATTATGTGCCGGAGGCGGTGTATCTGGAAGTGGCTCCGTTTATTACCCCTATGGTCCGGGGGTGAAATCGGTTTAGGTTCGGCTTCCATTAAGGTAAACAGATTACCTTTTCTCTTGTGAATGGCGAGTAGGTACCAAATTTTCCTGAAAGGATAAAAGCCTTGACTTCTATATAATGGGTTTGATTTAGATTTGATTTCATATAGTTTTTTCCTTTACTAGCTTTTTATACTAATCTTATATTATGTAAGTTGGCGCTGGCAGCCGTTGTGTATACTAATTCAAGTAAAGTATAGTAATTTAATTTAGAGAAACACTGTGACTGTGAAAAGAAGTAGAATCCATGGCGCATACCAGAAAGAGAACCAGTCAGACTCAGAAGTTTTATATTTTTTAATCTTTTACAATGTGCTCAGGGGTAAATATTACTTTATCCAGTGGAACTCGTGAGCGGTTCTTTCTGGGAAATATTTGACTCCATTTAGAAGATCCCCATTCAAGCCCAGAACCATCACACCCGAACCGCGGCCCAATGTTTATCGTAGAGATTCTCACTAGAAAAAAAGTAGAGAGGCTTTTTCTGGTAATCCAAATAAACTTCCACTCGAGTTCTTAGAACATTTAAGAAAACAACACGTGACTGAAATAACTACACAGGAACGAAAAGTAAGGGAAAAATAGGCACATAGAAGATAAGAAATTAGAGGAGTATCAGACATCGCTACGTTGAATTAATACTATTGGAACAGTGATCACGACCGTTTCAGATTAAACATTGACAACTATTGTATTACAACAGATCATTGGTATGGTACAGTTCTGCGGGGCGTTGGTTTGGAGGCTGGAATGAGCCTCAGCTGCCCATTCTGGCCTCCCAGCAATATGTAGTGGCTGGTTCTGGTGGAAAAAAAACCAATGGCAGAGAACGATGCGAGTGGGCTCATTTCACATGTCCTGACATTAACAGTATCTTACGGCTGCATACGTTCGTTACGTTCCGAACAAGCTGATCAACCCGCATGGTCAGTTCACCCCCCCCCCTCCCCCCCAAATAGTGTGGTCGACCTTAAAAACCAACTCTTCGTTAATACATAAGCAAATTCGTTGCGGCAGATACGAAATACAGTATTTTTGGATGATGCTACCCTACTGTTAAACCCAATACCCAATTTTCTGGAGGCAATGATTGAGGTTTCCGTACTAAGATTGAATGACGAGGTTGCTCCTAGTCCTCGCCTCGAACTTTTTAGTTTACTTTCATTTTACTTTCTTTACTTTCACTCCGTTTTTAAGGCTGTTGGATGGAAGAGGGTAATGAACACCTTCTACTCATCTCCTTCCACATTATTCGCTTCTCTGTCAAATCAATCTTGTGAGCTTTTCCCTTAATCCCTCTTGAGGATGCGGCACGCACTCTACTTCCTGTACGTAGTCGCAGTGGCTCTTTGTGTTGTGCGACGATAGCCTGACACATTTAGTTGATGGGCCACTTGTTATTACGACCGTCATTAGACAAACTAGTGCTCATTTCTCCTGTCCCCGATGGTAGAAGGCCCGGTTGGCCCGAGATCCGGGAACGGACCCGGATTCCGCGCGTGGTAAGCGGCCCACTTCTTACTACATTTCCTGCGCCTCTCTCCGCCCCACCACACACAAGCCCGAAATTCACTAGAAACTCCCTCTGTGGCTCCCAAACTCTTCAATGAGTCCAAATGTGTGGTGCATCAAAGATAGCGCAGTAAATTAGCAAGCTAACCATTAGAACTTCTCAACATCGTAACTCATTACAGCCTTTTCTATTACTTGTAAGCAACAAAAGTCTGAAATGGAGATCACCTCTTCACATTTTTGGCGCGGTAGAATTGGAAAGGAAGTCTCATAGACAACTATTTAAATTGATATCCCTATGGATTACGCATGGGTACGAGTTACGGGAGACGACCTTAAAATCATTCTCGAATCCAAAATTCAAACTTCCTAGGAGGAATAAAGCGTTTGACTTTTGCCGTGCATGCGCATATACAGTTGTGTCATTGAAGAGCAACACTTGACTTCTTCTTATATGCGCACCTTGAAACGGGGAATTTTTAGACGTCAGCGGTCAGCGCAACCTCTCTCTTTATGAAACCATGACATTGCTGCTGTTCGATTCGCTGTTTCTATTAAAAAAACAGAATTGAAATCTAAAGGACAGCACTCATTGAGGACTATTAGAAAAAAAGAAGCAACTGTTTATCCAACTTTTCTTCACTGGGTCATATGTTACTGCCAATTTTTTTTACAATTCCACCGCATCTTACCAGATAGGCCATTACCTAAAGCGCTTTAATTATTTGCGTTGCGTAATTGCCTTTCATTTCATTTATTTGCTTGTCTGTTTGTTTATTTATTTTGCTTTCCATTATACATTTACTTATTTGATTATTTACAATTTCGAGGATGCGCTAGACTTACGGTAATTCATATAGACGAGAAATACAAATGATTTAAAAAACAGAACATGACAGGAAGAGCGGAGTGAAAAAAGTAAATCAAAAGCGAAAGAACAAAGAAGAGCAGGAAGGTTTGTGAAAAGCTCAGCGGTAAAAAAGAC